GCCCTCTACCTGAAGACGACGCGTCCTGCTCAGTAGCCTCAATCGCTGTTTCAGCCATCGATGTTGACATCCTCGCCACCGAACAGCGAAATGATAATTGGATCGCCCTTCTGACTGACTTGTTCTATGATCCGTCCGCAACACCATCCATGCGTGACTTGCGTCGTCGAGCTCAATATTTCGCCATCCGTGACGGCTTCGTATACACCGACGCAATTACGACGCCGATGACCGGCAGTTGTTACTCGTGATACTTCGCAGTCTGCGGGCAGAGATATGAGAATCTTTCCATTCTGATCCACAATGCTTGCACTCTGGGGTATCTAAAGCTTACCACCGCATTCGACAACGTTACTTCTGGCGCGGGATGTACCGCTACGTGCAGCAGTTCGTTCGCTCTTGCCTCGCTTGCCAACGCCGCGAACCGTCAGCACACATGTCGCACGCCGGTCTGTAAACGTTACCTTACCCTGACCGTCCGTTTGGGCGCGTATATATCAATTTGTATGAAACACTTCCTCTGACGTCGGCTGGCAACGGCTGGGCCATCGTTGCCGTAGACAATTTAACAATTTAACGCGATACGCCGAATCCGCCGCTTTACCTGCGGCTACTGCGCGTGGTGTTGCGTCCTTCCTGCTGCATTGATTCATACTGCGCCATGGAGCACCCAAAAGCTTCTCAGTGATCGAGGCCGTGTGTTGTTGTCGGAAGTCGTCAAAGCCATTCTGACGGAGTGCCATTCTTTCCACCGCAAAACTAATGCTTACCACTCGCAGACGAATGGCCTCACCGAACACTTTAACCGCACCCTCGGCAATGTGCTTTCGATGTACGTCGCTGCTAACCACACGAATTGGGATAATATACTGCCCTTCGTCACCTACGCCTCCAACAATGCCCCTCAGAACATGACCAGTTTTTAACCTTTCTTCTTGCTGTACGAAAGACGCCCGTCGCACACCATAGACACGATACTCCCGTACACGCCTGATCCACCTGAGTGTGCACCTATTTCTGAAAAAGCCAGGCTTGCTGAAGAGTGTCGCGAGATCGCCATGACTTTTACGACGCATGAGCAAGAGCGGCAGAAGAGAATTCGTGATGGCTCCACCACTTCTTAACCCACGCTCCTACCTGGTGCGCTTGTATGGCTCTCGATCCCGACCTTTGTAGCTGGCCTCCATTCGAAACTACTTCCAAAATACGAAGGCCCCTAGCGTGTCATCGAGCGCACATCTCCGGTCAACTATCTGGTCGAACCCGTCGAACAATCTTCGGACATGCGCAACCACGGGCGCGACATCGTCAACGTGGAGCACCTGAAGGCTTATTATGACCCGCTCATAGTAACAAGCTGTCAGGTCGCCAGGCGGCTCCCTCTTCGACCCAGGGGACCCAGGGGTAATTGTAGCGAAGCCTCCGAACTCTGAAATGGGTCGAACTCCTGAGTACGTTCTAGTGGGGCTACCCAACAAGGACGCACATCGCGCTGTGAGTCCGTGCTTGGCCATGACTGTCGCCGTAGCGTATGATCGCTGGTTGCCAGCTAATGAACGCCTTTAATATATATATATATATATATATATATATATATATATATATATATATATATAAACTTCGAGAATAGTGCAGTATAGGAAACAAAACAATAAAATATTTATTTAATCCTTACAGTTTCGGCTGGTGGACCAGCCTTCTTCGGAGAATGTAAGAGAAATGGTACAAGTTCCCGTAGCAGAGGGTCACCCTCACAGTTTGAAGACCCTCAAAAAAAAAAAACGAGACAAACGGGCGAACGAGGTAGCAACAGACAACAAGAAGCAGAAGAAGGAGAGGGACCAGAAAGGAGCGACGGAGAGCCGCTCGTTTCCGGCTATATATATATATATATATATATATATATATATATATATATATATATATATATATATATATATATATATATATATATATATATATGGCCTGGCTCATAAGCCATGTTTATTTCAAAGCACTTCTTCCTCATCTGCTTCTCCTAACCATCCCTACTTTCTTACGTCACAGGATCCCCCCTCCCCCCCAAAAGGTAGCACTAGTTACAAACTACAACAAATTGAAGAAGAGAATAAACAAAATAATGGCGAAATTCATAGTTTTACGTTCCGACGAATTTTCCCAATCTCACTAAATCTTCAAGGCCGAGGGAGCAGTCTGGTAATTTCTATGACAACTCTGGTGGACGAGCTTGACAGTTGCTTTCCGAACAGACCGGGCTACACATGAATACTTACAATACTGTTTGAACTCTTCTGAAAACTGAGCAAGGTTCGAATGCATTGTTGCATCGGCAGCTCGGATGTCGTCGGGTTATTTTGCGTCGTGAATGGTGCAATCCCGGTACTTTTTGCTTTCGCGCTTTTTGACAGACTGTGACGAAGTGCCCGAGTGCTTGCGGTCTGCAAGCAGTGCTTTCGCGTCTTTCTCAGCGTTTTCTGTGGTGGTGCAGTCGGCGTAATAGGAGGTGAAGGGAGTGCCTCTGGTGACTTTTCTTTGTTTGAAAGAGTTTGACGTCTTGAATTGGCCTTTGGTTTAGAGATACTTTTTTCCGATGTTCTTCATTTGGTGAGTGCTTCTCGGTTGAATTTTGCGTTCGTCCATGCCCTCGTTGCAGTCTCTTTTGTTGTCGCATGAGTTTATGAACTTGGCCTTGCTTGCTTTGCTGATGCTGCTCAGGTGATGGCTGTAGTGGTGACCCTTCCAAAATTGGGCTTTCATTTCCTTCGAGGTTTGACGCGTCCAGTATACAGCTGATGTATGGTGAGCTGGTGTCTTGCTTGTCGGGCATAGTTAGTAATGCGTCATCATTGCTAGCATGCTGTTCAGAGGCTTCGGTGACGTGGTTCCTTGCGGACGCTTATGAAAGACTACTGTGTACGAGGTTTGATGTATGATTTACTTCTGCAATTGTTCGGTTCTTGAATTGGTGAGCTCTGCCTGAAGGTACCACAGGTTACGTGGCATTAATAGGTTTGAACTGCAGATTTTGGCAAGTCTGTGGTGCCGTAGAAATGACACGAAGCTATTCAGAGGCTTCTTCTTCGCTGTTCACTGCGAGTAGTTCTTGCACCTGGTAGCGTGTGACGTTCGATGCGTCTGAGCCTTCTGTTTTGTTTGGACTGTCGAGGTTGTGTGCTCCGGATGGTGATGCATGAAACCGTACGGAAGGAGTATGGCTTGACAGGACATTGTCTCTTAGCGCCAGGTCATCTGTTATGAATACGGCGTTCTTATAAGGCAAATGGTGAGTGTTAGGAGCGCTTGAAAAACCGCGTGATGAAAACCCATGTGGTGGACCACGTGTGCGAGACGGACAGTGAAAGGCATTAGTTGATTGAGCAATGTCTCGTGTCATGTGCTGAAGCGATGACTAAAGAAATGTCGACTTTCGTGCAGAAGGGGAGGCCTGCTAGGTGGTTGTGTTTTTCTCGAAAGACGCATTGTCGTCTGTGACTGAACCCGTGTGCCACTTCGTCTTATGCCAGAGGCCGAATTTTGTAGCGCGTACGAATGGTTGAAGACTGCCTGTGAAATCCACAACTGAGTAAAATTGTTTGCGGATGGTGGGTTATAATCGAGTTTTCGTCGTAGATGGTCACTGTATTCTTTAAAATCGAATGATCATTTCTTTCTCGATCTTTTTCCAAGACTCATTGTTCTCGAAGATGTGGGTGAGGTAAAATTTGAAAGCTTCACCGAAGCTGTAGTCGAGAAAGTTTACCATCTTCCGTTCCGACCAGGATGCAGCAGTGGCGTGGAACTCGAATAGTTTCAGTTAGTCCTGTACGGGTCCATCGTCCGCTGATCTGGTGTACATGGGGATTTCAAGGTCAGCTGATGGTTCTGTCATGATTCTGGTCATGGTGTAGAGTAGGGATGTACTTGTGTGGTTCACGTTCTGTCACTGCGTCTTGCTAAGATGTTCGATGATAATGGCCGGTTGAAGAAGTGGCCGCCAGGTCTTCATGCTGCCGACTCGTGTGATGCTATATGATGAATGGGCAACGTGGCCTGGTTCATAGGCCATGTTTATTTCACAGCACTTCTTACTCATCTACCTCTCCTAACCATCCCTGCCTTCTTACGTCACACACGCACACACACACACACACACACGTATATATATATATATATATATATATATATATATATATATATATATATATATATATATATATATATATATATATATATATAAATATATATATATATATATATATATATATATATACGTGTGTGTGTGTGTGTGTGTGTGTGTTACATTATGCATATTGGAATATATTTTTAGAGTTAGTCCTTGCTTTGCTCCAACACTAGGGGCAAATCATAGTTGTTGCTATAGAGAAGAGCAAAAAGGTTCACGGAAAGGTGGAAGAGATGAAAATTCGTGTATGCCGGATGTGTAGCCTTCAACAATCAATCCTTGATGTCCGCTTAATGAGGCATGGGCTGCATCCCGTGTCCGCGTATTTCTCATCATCATAGAAAGACGGTCAATTAAAACGGTTTGATCACGTCCTTTATGTTTCCCTACTTGTGCGTTATTGAAGTATTCACAATTTTTTGACGCGCTGGTACACTTCAATATGTGTACCAGCCGAATGTGCAGCCAAAGCAGGAACAAATATAGGTGACTTTTGCGCATCAGACGGCAAGAAATTCGCTGATGGAAATATAGAACGCGCACCTGGAAGCAAGCCCCATGCATCGACAAATAGTGCGTCTAAATGTTTTGGCACACACATCACAGAGGCTGTAGGCCTAGTCTCGTGGCCGCAAGCACCAACCACATCTCACTATGCAACAAAGGATTAGAAATTTACTCTGAAACTTTGTCTTGGTAAGCAACACAGAAGTGCAGTCTCTGTGATTTTAAGGTGGCAAAAGTAGATGAATAGGACAGACAGTGGAGAATTAGCAGTTCTTAATAGTGTTTTACAGAGCGCGTCGTAGATACTCACTCGAGAGGCTAGCAAGAAGGTCTATGGTGCTCATTGGCCAAGAAGCCTCCTGTCTAGTGACATGGAATGCCTCCAATATGCCGACGTAGATGATGCTGAACACACGCTGCCCAATGCACACCATAAACAGGAACCAGCTGGAGAAAGCCGCAACCACCCAACTCTGGCGGGAGTCAACGCCATAAAGCATCATGATGGGTGCCCTGCAAATACGTGATAGGTTCGCTTTTCAGGTATAACACAATTGCGTGACCGGCAGATTTTCGGATCAAGGATTCTGCACATACATAGCTCCTGTTGCCTCCTGCGTTCAGATGAATGACGACGTAACATGTCAAGAACATGCTTAGAGCGCAGCTCTTGGGCGCTCATCCTTGTGTTGAGCGGTGTCGCCTTTGGCGTCGGTAGTGCAACCGAGAGAAAGAGTATGTGCCGTAAGAATTAGGCACAATCCCGTAATAGCGGGTTCGAGTATCATACGATTAGAGTGCAGCACAAGTACCCGTTGCTGCAATGAGCGACTGCATTGAGCGGCATCGGCGGCGTAACCGAGTGAATAAGTATGTACTATAGAAATCCGGCTCTGTTATGTACAGCAGGGGCATCGTAGGGCTAGAGCGCAGCCCTGATGCCCATTCCTGCGTTGAGCGGCGTTGGCGGCGTACCCAAGTGAATAAGTAGGCTTTATAGTAATCGCGAACTATTATGAACAGCAGGTGCGGGTATCATAGGACTACAGCGCAGCTCTGGTGCCCATTGTTGCGTTGAGCGGCTCGGTGGCGTAAACGAGCGAATAAGTATGTAAATCGCACTCTATTATGTACAGCAGGTGCATCGTAGGACTAGAGCGCAGCCCTGATGCCGGTTGTTACTTAGAGCGGCGTCGGTGGCGTAACCAAACGAAAAAGTATGTGTTACAGGAATCGGGCAGTATCATGTAGAGCATGTGCGAGTATTATAGGAACATAGCGCAGCTCAGAAACCTGATGCCGCGTTGAGTGGCGTCGACGGCGTAACCGAGTGAATAAGTCCGTTTTATAGGAATCGGGCACTATCATGCAGAGCAGGTGCGAGTATCATAGGACAAGAGCGCAGCTCTAGTGCCCGTTGCTGCGTTGAGCGGCGCCGGTGGCGTGACCGAGTGAATGAATAAGTGTTATAGGAATCGGGCACTATCATGTAGAGCAGGTGCGAGTATCATAAGACTAGAGCATAGCTCAGGTGCGCGTTGCTGCGTTCAGTGGTGTCAGTGGCGTAACCAGGAAAATGATTATGTGTTATAGGAATCGGGCACTATCATGCAGAGCAGGTGCGAGTATTATATGAATAGAGCACAGCTCAGGTGCCCGTTGCTGCGTTCAGTGGTGTCAGTGGCGTAACCAGGAGGATGAGTATGTGTTATAGGAATCGGAAACTTGGGATAGGCAAAAATCAGACGTATGCAATAAGGGACAAAGAAGGCAAATAACTACCAATATGGATAGGATATTTGAAATATCGGAGTAGTTTTACAGAGATCTGTGCAGTAGCCGGGGCAACCACAACTTTAATACTATAAGAACTAGCAGTCACCCAGATGACACCCCACCAGTAATGATAGAAGTCCGAAAAGCTTTGGAGAGCTTGCAAAGAGGCAAAGCTGCTGGTGAGGATCAGGTGACATCAAATCTGCTGAAAGATAAAGGACAGATTGTGTTAGAAAAACTAGCCACCCTGTTTACGAGGTGTCTCCTGACGGGAAGAGTACCAGAGTCTTGGAAGAACACCAACATCATCTTAATACATAAGAAAAGAGATAACAAGGACTTGAAGAATTACAGGCCGATCAGCTTGCTGTCTGTAGTATACAAGCTATTCACAAAGGTAATTGCTAACAGAGTAAAGAAAACATTAGAATTCAATAGACCAAAGGAAGAAGCAGGATTTCGAACAGGCTACTAAACAATAGATTACATTTATACTATCAATCAGGCAATGGAGAAATACTCAGAATATAACCATCCTTTATACATAGCCTTCGTAGATTACGAGAAGGCGTTTGATTCAGTAAAAAGATCAGCCACCTTGCAGACACTGCGGAATCAGGGCGTCGATGAAGTATATATAAGCATCCTGGAAGAAATCTATAGGGGATCAACTGCTACCATAGTGCTTCAAAAAAAAGCAACAGAATACCAGTCAAGAAGGGTGTAAGGCAGAGGGAAACAATCTCCCCAATGCTATTAACCGCGTGCTTACAGGAGGTTTTCAGAAGCCTAGAATGGGAACAGTTAGGGATAGTGGTTAATGGAGAGTACCTTAGTAACCTGCGCTTCGCCGATGACATTGCCTTGCTGAGTAACTCAGGGGACGAATTACAACTCATGATTACGGAGTTAGACAAGATAGCAGAAAGGTGGGTCTTAAAATAATATGCAGAAAACGAAAGTAATGTACAACAACCTCGGAAAAGTGCAGCGTTTCAAGAGAGGTAATAGTGCACTTCAAATTGTAAAAGACTATGTCTACTTAGGGAAGTAATAACCACGGAGCCAAACCACGAGATTGAAGTGACTAGAAGAATAAGAGTGGGGTGGAGCACATTTGGCAAGCACTCTCAAATTATGACAGGTAGATTGCCACTATCCCTCAAGAGGAAGGCATATAACAGCTGTATCTTGCCGGCACTTGGCTATGGAGCAGAAACCTGGAGACTAACAAAGAGGGTTGAGCTTAAATTGAGGACGACGCAGCGAGCAAGGGAAAGACAAACGGTAGGTGTAACCTTAAGGGACAAGAAGAGAGCAGAGTGGATTAGGGAACAAACGGGGGTTAAGAATATCATAGCTGAAATCAAAAAGAGGAAATGGACATGGGCCGGGCATGTATGGCGTAGACAGGATAACCGCTGGTCATTAAGGCTAACTAACTGGATTCCCAGAGAAGGTACGCGGGTCAGAGAGAGACAGAAGGTTAGGTAGGCAGATGAGATTAAGAAGTTTACGGGTATAAATTGGCAGCAGCAAGAAGGACCGGGTTAACTGGCGGAACATGGGAGAGGTCTTTGTCCCTCAGTGGACGTAGTCAGGCTGATGATGTTGATGATGATGATGATGATGATGATGATGATGATAGGAATCGGGCACTATCATGTAGAGCAGGTGCGAGTATTATATGACTAGAGCACAGCTCAGGTGCCCGTTGCTGCGTTCAGTTGTGTCGGTGGCGTAACCAGGAGAGTGAGTATGTATTATAGGAATCGGGCACTATCATGTAGAGCAGGTGCGAGTATTACATGACTAGAGCACAGCTCAGGTGCCCCTTGCTGCGTTGTGCGGCATCGGTGGCGTAACCAAGTGAATGAGTATGTGCTATAGGAATCGGGCACTATCATGTAAAGCAGGTGCGAGTATAATAGGACTAGAGCACAGCGCAGGTGCCCGTTGCTGCGATCGGCGGTGTCAGTGGCGTAACCAAGTTAATGAGTATGTGTTATAGGAGTCGGGCACTATCATGTAGAATACCGAGTATGATAGGACTATACAGGGCTGCTTAGGTGCCCGTTGCTGCGTTCAGTGGCGCTGGTGGTGTAACCAAGCGAATGAGTATGTTTTATAGGAATCGGGCACTATCATGTAGAGCAGGTGCGAATATTATAGCACTATAGAGTGCCGCTCAGATACCCGTTGCTGCGTTCAGCGGTGTTAGTGGCGTAACCGAGCGAACTAGTATGTGTTATAGGAATCGGGCACTATCGTGTAGAGCAGGTGCGAGTATCATAGAACTAGAGCACTGCGCAGGTGCCCGTTGCTGCGTTCAGCGGTGTCGGTGGCGTAACCAAGCGAATGAGTATTACAGTATTACACAATATTACAGTATGAAAAGTTTTGCATACTGTAAATTGAACTCACAGTGAACAGCAGCCTGATCGCTAATGCCGGGAAGGACAAGAGTAGACTTTACAGCCATGGAAGCGTTCGTAAGCATGAGATCTAATATATTGTTTCTCCGTGTTGACTGCAAGACCATCTGTGTTAAATCATAAGTTTCGCATAGCTCAATAATCGCTCTGGTTAACTGACTCTGCCCGCTCGATGTGGGTCCCTGCTGACCCCAATTGACTTCAGGAAAATAAAAGTCAACATCTATCATCACGTATTGAGTTAAGACAGTTTCAACCGCATCAAATATTTCATGCAAAACGTTAGCTGTACTGCTTGGTAGACGATAAAACGAGCACACAGAGACAGTTTTACCGTTGGAAAGTCTAATCAGAGCCCAACAGCCTCACTGTGGCCAACTTTCATTTGTAGTATCCTAGAGTTAATCGCTTCATCTATTAGTATAAAAACTCCACTTCCACGACAGTTACAATTCTTCCAATAAGAAATATATTTTCCAGGAAAGATTTCCGTATCACTAATGGTTCATTCAGCCAGGATTCCATTCCCAGCACCACAGACGGCTGAGTCATCTCTAGAAGAGCAACAAACTCGTTCGTTTTATTCCTAATGCTCTGGCAGTTCACAATCAACACTGAATGCAGAGCCCTATTTGTCGAATGTAGTCAATCCGCACGCCTAACTTGGCCTAGCGATTCGTCAAATACATACTCGAGGCGATTTAAGTACAGGGAATCAAATTTAACCAAGCGTACTTTGTCGCTTGGTTTTTTATTTGCCTTTCTGTATTCCAGCCACCCCTTTCCTTTCAGTCGAACAGCAGCAGAAAAAAATTCCTAAATGCTATCTTGGAGCCCTTTAGTTTATTTGCGTTTGAAAGAGCAGCCTGCTTATCTTTAAAAGAAGCAAAGCTAGCAATAAGTGGTCGAGGTCCGTTCACAGCGAACTTACCCAAGTGGTGTGCCTTTTTGATTGCATCATTTTCGCATCTCAGAGTGAGATAACATATATATATAACTATTTTTTCTATTGTGCCATATGATTCACTCTTGTCTGCATCCTCAAAAAGATCAAATTACATCACCTACTGCGGTTTTCAAGTTCATCTACTTTTTGTTCAAGAGGGTGTATTCTCATATCCTTACTTTCACAGGTCTTTTTACACTGTAAAACTGCACCTTTATTTCGTTCTTCTTTTCAATAACTGATTCCAGGTTCGTTATGCGTGCAGTTAGGCTAGTCATTTCTGATTTAGTTTCAGCTTGTGACTTCTCAATGGCGTTAAGTTTTTTTATATCCTGCTGACCACTTAGAAGTTTCTG